TGCTCAGCGGGGAGTCTGCTTCTCCCTCTCCCTCTCCCTGCTTGTGCTTTTTTTCTCGTTCTGTCTCTCTCAAATAAATAAATATTTTTTTAAAAAAGGAACTTACAGTAAATAAAATCTCTCTACTTAACACAGAAAGGTACTTCTTTGTTAGGGGCACCTGAGTAGCTTAGCCAGTTAGGCGTCCGACTCTCAATTTTAGCTCAGGTCATGATCTCAGGGTTGTGCGTTGGAGCCTGGTAGTCGGTCAAGCTCTGCACTCAGTGAGGAGTCTTTTTGAGATTCTCTCCCTCTGCCCCTTCCCCCTCTCTAAAATAAATAATATATCTTAAAAAAATAAGATATTTCTTTGTTAATCAAAGATGGACTGGCTACGTTGGGAAGTGGTTGTCAGTGTGTCCCATCTTTAAGACCAGTGCACCTACCCGTAGCTGGGCAAGACAAATTTAGTCTCTCTGTTTCTTCCTTACCCTTCAGATCCATCTCTGTCTCTCCATCTGCACCTTATCATCTGTGCCCAGGAAGGCTGTAGTTGCTTCCTTCATTATCTCCTTGCATCCATCTGGACCCCTCCAATCTGTTCACCATCTGCAAGAGAAGAGTGGGTTTTATGAAATGTGAATCCCATCTTTTCACCATATCTGGCTACCTGTTTCTTTAATGCCTTCCCATTACTTGGAAAAATAAAACCCCAAAGTCTACGTGGCCTATGAGATCCCCATAAGCTTGGGCCATAGCCCTCCAACCTGGTTTTGCTCCACTTAACTCTCAGACCTGTGGTCACATTGACTTCCTTTCAGTCCCTGGCAAGTATCACACTTCATCTTACAACAGAGCTTTGCACATAAAATGCCTTCTACCTGGAATCCCTACTTGTTTCCCTGCCCGATTAATTGGTACTTACAGTTAGAAGCTTAATTCCTCACCCTCCAAACCAGCCTCACTAAGATTCCTTTGAAACACCCCTCAGAAACAATAGTGGTCATTTACTTATTAACACCCCTCTCGCTTTGTAACATTCTTTTCTGTGATGATTAACTTCTATCTCCCATGTTACATGATTATCTCAATAAGGGCACATTTTGCTCACCATTTTAACCCCAGCGCATGTTGATGCAAAGTGGGTGCCCACATGTATTTACTGAGTGGGTGAATTAGGAAGGTTCTAAGGGTTGTCAAGAGAATCTGGGTGATTACTTGGAGGGATAGCAAAAGGCATACAGGTGGCTGGAGCAGATGGTTAGTAAGGTCCCTAGCAATTTTGATATTCTGTGCTTTCTGCATGTTTGATTCAAATTTTCTTAATTACACTTACCCTTTTTTATCATTCAGGGTCTACAAAACTACCTATTGATGATATTTGCATTTTTCATCATCTTGAGTGGAGCATTATGCACTGCTTTCTCTAAACTCTAACAATACAAGACTGGCAGATGGCAGCAGTGGGTAAGAACCCTGCTGCAGGGCTCCGAGTGATCATGCTGAGAAGAGAGTTCATTTTCTTACAGCAAATGGATCTCAACCCGTCTTGGACTGGATAAATGATTTTTTTTTTTTTTCCACAAATGTGAGAATAAAGGAAAACTAAGTTTCGGTCAAGTATAAAAATGGAAAATTCTTCTAATGAACTCTTTATGATGGTAGGACTTTACGGGGTGACGAAAATGTCCACCTTACAGTATTACAGCTGAGAGTGCTCCTTTTACCACAATATTGCTCGGTGTTGCATAAGCAGCAAAACAGTGTGGAGTTCATCTACACAAAGAATTTTGTGTATATGAAAGTTTCCAACATATTACCAAGTTTCCAACATATTACCCTCGTTAATGAAGAGAGGCAGAAAAATGTTGGGGAGAGAAATGGGGAGAAGACCTTACCTTATAATGGAATTAGATTCCAAAGCTATCTAGATCCTTGGCCAGAAAAAGTAAACGTCAGAGTCGGTAACTGAATATGAAAAAGGCCATTTCATTTTTTGCCCAAACTTATTTTTACTTCAAATTAATATTGCTCAACTCTACGTCACCCCCTCATCTTAGCTCAAAATGCTTTTGATTATCTCCAGATAAAATCCATCTTCAGAGAACAAAAATTTCCAACCATTGAGAATATGTGTATAATACATATACAGACATATACAGTTACACGTAAATATACACATATATGTCTGTATGATTCCAAACTTGGGGGAAATTCTAGAGTTGCTATAGTGAGGGTCTAGCTTATTAGAGTAAGAATTTGCAGGGACCAAACACTTCTTTGTATGTAAAATTTATTTTTTTTTTCTGAAATACACTTTTCTAAAATCCCTTTTTAAACTGGAAGTTTTCTTCCACTTTTAACTGGTGGTTTCCATTAGGGAAAAAAAAATAATGGACATGTTATTTTTATATATATATTCAAAAGAGACAGAATACCACTAACCCGAATGGGTTTCATCTTCATTGTATGACTTTGAAGAAGTTCCTGAGCCTCCTGTATCAGATTCCTCATCTATAAAATGGACATAATGATAATGATAATGTTATTGTAAGGTTCAGATTAATTAAAATCTGTAACATGTTCATGGGTATCTGGCACTTGGCAAACATTGTATAATTCTTAGCTATACTTGTTATCTACTGTTTGAGAAAGAAAATGTGTCTATAGATTGGAGAATATTTTGTAAGAGCTATGCCCTCACCACCAACCCATCTAAACAACTAATTATTATTCATTCCTCTATTTGAGTGCAATTTAAGTAATGATACTGGATTCTCTATTTCATTATTGAATTCTTTGTAACACCTTACCAAAACTCATTTTAATTTTAACCTGAAATATTATGTTGATAACTTTAAATAAATTGACATGACACAAAAGCTATTTTGCTAACTTAAATATATTTTCAAATTTCATATTGATAGCGTTTAATCTGTAGTGGAGAATGCCAATTTATATGCAAAATTTTAAATGTGAAGTAAGGCAATTGCAGAAGAAAAATGAAAAAAAAAATCTTATTACCACTATACAGTTTCTGCTACCACACAATGCTTTTATTGTTAGTAAGAGGTAAGAGTAGTGTGCGGGGGAAAAAAACAAGCTTTTCAAAATGGTTACCATGCAGAAAACTTATTACGTAGAGGTTAGTCTAAACAGGTGATTACCAAATCTCCACTTTCCTTGCTCAATTTAAGAAGTTAACACCTGTCTCTCTAGAAGTTTTTTTTTGTTTGTTTTTTAATGGGGATTTTTTTATTATTATTCATTTGAGACACAGAGATACAGAGAGAGAGACAGCATGAGCAGGGGGAGAGGCAGAGGGAGAGGGAGAAGCAGGCTCCCCGCCGAGCAGGGAGCCCGATGCGGGGCTCGATCCCAGGACCCCGGGACCATGACCTGAGCTGAAGGCAGACGCTTAATCGACTGAGCCACCCAGGCGCCCCTCTCTAGAAGTTTTGAGGCTTTGTTTTTCCTTGTCTAGTATGGTCAAATTCTTGTGTTTAACTTTTTCTTGCTTGGCTTTCTGTCTCTATTTATAGAGAAGGTACTACCTTAAGTAGGGAAGTGGTAGCCCAACTCACTGGGCTGGCATCCAGATTATGGGAATTGTTTATTATCAAAATAAAAACTCCTAATTTCTCAAAATTCCTAATGAGTTTTATGGAATTATTAAATACAGCATTTCCCTGGAGTTACCAAATCTCCATGTATTCCTCTTGTATTCATTTATTTGTTCTTAGAATTGCTAACTACTAGACCTGTATGTATCAGTATTAGTGAGTTGAAAAACACATTGAGTTAAAAAGGCAAATTGTAGAACCATGTGCACAGTATGATACCATTTAGGTAAATTTTTAAGAATCAAAGTAATTTATATTTTTTCTATAAATACCTATATATGCAAAAAATTAGAAAAATACATATACAAAGCTCATAATGATATTTGACTCTAATGAGGATGAATGAGATAAGAACGGCAACACTGGGGTCAATGTAAACTTAAGCATTATCTGTAATACTCTAATTTTTATAGCAATGAATTCATATATTTGTTCTTTAATATGTGTTAAAGAGTCAATAGCAAAAGAGCTCAGGACATGTGCCTAATGTTAAAGTAATTAAGACTAGGGGCACCTGGGTGGCTCAGTCATTAAGCGTCTGCCTTCAGCTCAGATCATGATCCGGGTCCTGGGATCGAGCCCCGCATCGGGCTCCCTGCTCAGCGAGAAGCCTGCTTCTCCCTCTCGCACTCCCCGTGCTCGTGTTCCCTCTCTCTCTGTCAAATAACTAAATAAAATCTTAAAATAAATAAATAAGTAAGTAAGACTAAGTAAGGAAAATATGGGTGTATTTTATTTTCCTCTTCATTTTTTTTAGTACTTTTTAATTTCAAAGCAAGCATGCACACACACATGCACACACAAATAAAAGAGATCAAGGCAAAGTTGAGAAATTTTCCAACTTAAAAGTCCCACCGTCTAAAGATAGAATCTAGAAACTCACTTTTCTAGCCTCCATTGCAGTAGGATGTGTCGTTCCTGATTATGTAGCCTCCTCCAAATAGACAAAAGTAATCTAAAATGACAGAAAACAAATTCTGGTGGCCTGAGGCATGAGGGTTAACTACAAAGAGTATAGGGAACTTTATGGGTTGCTGGAAGTGTTCTGTATCTAGGTTGTAGTGATGATTACATGAGTGTATATCTTTGCTCATAACACTGTCCACCTAAGTGGGAGAATTTTATTGGATGCAAATTATACCTCATTAAAGTTGATTAAAAGTCAATTAAAATAGGCTATATTTGTGTGTGTGTGTGTGTGTGTTTTAATGAGGCCAAATTTCTTTTTTTTTTCACTGTTTAAGGAATTTTTATTAAAGCAAGAATTTTATAATCCAAATTACGTTTCCTTGCTCAGTTATCAATTCTGTTATTTAAAACAGAAGTGACATTCTGAGCTATTCCACAGTAAAGAATTACAAAATTAAAGAAAGGAATGCTTTAAATTTTTGCACTTTACTTAAAAATTCTTTTTCCCAGGGTCTATAAAACATTAATTTGTTTTTATATTTTACTATTTTTTTTGTTGTTTTTAAATCAGTAAGTAATCTAGGACTAGCATTATGTTTGCTAGACCTGGCATTTGCTCGGTACATAAGGTTCAAAGTTTTCTTTCCTTTTTTTATTTATTTTATATTTTGCAATTTTTTTTTCTAAAATGTTTAAGTCTTTCAATGTTTAGATATTTTTCTTCGGTGAAGCACGAGTTTCTTTTCGTGGTCCCTGATCAATTTTAAACAGTTGGAATACCAGTGGCACTGTTAGCTGCTTTCTGGGCAGCCTCTTCAGCTCGGTGGGCTTGTAGTACAGCTACAGCTTCATCTACTTTAGAATGGAGAGACTCTGGAGACTCAAGCAGATGAAGAAGTTCTGAATTATCAATCTCCAACAACATGCCAGTGCTTGTACCAGCAAGAGTAGGGTGCATGGCTTGAATTAGAGGAAAGAGCCGTTCATGGTGAATGAGGCCAAATTTCTGAAACAAGGGTTTTAGGTAGCTCACAGAATACCCAGTAGGACCATGGAATTGACCTTGGAGGCTCCATAATCAGGAATGACACATCCTACTGCAAGAAAGGATGCTATATTTTGCGAAATTTTTTTTGCATCTTTTGAGATGATCATGTTTTTCTTTTTACCCTGTCAATATGGCAAATTACATCGATTACTTTTCAAATATTAAACCAATTTTGCATTCCGCTAGTAAACACTACTTGGTCATGATGTGTTTTAGCCTTTCTCTAAATTGTTGGATTTAATTTGCTTTTGTGTTCATGATGGATATTGGTCTGTAATATCAGGGTAGTGGCTTTAAAATGTTTGCTAAGAATTGGTACTATTCTTCCTTAAATGTTTGGTAGAATTCAAAAGTAAAGCTGTCTAGGCCTCATTTTCTTTAACATATATAGGTTGATTCAAGTCATCTATTTCTTCTTGAGTGAATTTTCTTAGTTTTTGTCTTTCAAGGAATTTACTCATTTCATATACATTGAGACATTATTAGTATAATATTATTTATAATATTTCTTCATTCTCCTTTTCATATCTATAGGATCTATAGTGATATCCACTTTTTCATTCCTGATATTGGTGATTTGTTCTCTTTTTATGAACATTCTAGCTAAAAGTTTATCAATTTTATTCATCTATTCAACAAATTAGCTCTAGATTTACTTGAGTTTGCCCTACCCTGTTTTCCTCTTCAATTTCATTGATTTGTGTTCTTTTCTATTATGTATTCTGTTTCTTATAAGTTTTTAACTTGCTCTTATTCTCCACCCCTTCCTCTTTTTCTAGATCTCCAATTATACATACATATATTCTACCTGCCTTGACCTTCCCAAATTCTTATTTCTATCTACTCAATTCAGGGAGCCTGTCGGGCCCTGTGTTCCCCCTTACAGCACTGCAGCCTGCAAACTCTATCTAGGCAGTAAAATTGAAAAATTACAGTGCTCAACTTATTTGTTTCCCCTTCTGACAGGGATCATGGTCATGTCCTGCCTATGGTCCAGTGTTTCATACATTTTACCCATTTTGCTATTTCTTTAATGTATAAAGATTAACATGGTTCCTATTCCTCCATCTTTACCAGAAGTAGAAATTCTCTGATTAGCATTTTGTTACATTTTAATTTCAACTTCTCTTTTGTCACATTTTCATGAACAGCAACATCAAAGAATAATTAGTCATTGTAGTTGGTTGAATATGGCTCCCCAAGAAATATGTCTAAGTCCTAATTTCCAGTACCTGTGAGTATGACCTTATTTGGAAATAGGGTCTTTGCAGATGTAATTAAATTAAGGATCTCAAAATGTGATCATCTTGGATTTAGGATGGACTCAAAATCCAATGACTAGTATCCTTATAAGACAAAGGAAAGAGATTATTTGATACAGAAACACAGAGAAGAAAGCCACATGAAGATGGAGGCAGAGATTGGAGTGATGTAACTACAACCCAAGGAAGGTCAAGGATTGCGGGAAGCCACTGAAAGCTAGGAGGCAGGCATGGAAAGGGGTTCTCCTTCAGATCTCCTAGAAGGAACCAACCTTGTCAGACTTTTAGCCACTAACTGTGAGAGAATAAATTTCTGTTGTTTTAAGCCATCACGTTTGTGATAATTGTCCCATCCCTAGGAAACTAATCCAATGAGCATACAAAATAAGACGCACGAATGCAACCCATAACCTTTAATACTGGCAATACTACTACTCAGATAAAGATGTTGGCTAAGCTGCAAAGCAAACATAGAGTAAGTAGAAAAATTACATGGTGTGAAGGTCTCAAAAAGTGGCTTTTTGTCTTAACAGAGTTGAGTATTTCATCTTTAGATAGTACAGTATGGGGCATACCTCTCTTCCTCTATAAAATGAAATGGAATATGTCAGGTGATTTTTGTTTGTTTGTTTATTTTTAAGGAAAAAAAAATGACCTGGAATGTTGTATAAAGCATTTTAGGCACACATCTCTGTATACAAAAAGCAGTGACAGGAATTCGATAAAAGGAGTAGGATCTTTTTTTTTTTTTTTTAAGTTTCATGATATTGACAGGAAGATTCTTCTTGCAGACAAAGGACATCAGAGCTAACTTGGTTGTTTTTTTAGCTACTGAAGTCTTCATGTGGGAATGTATCTCATTTTCTGTTGAAGACAAACTGTCTCTCTGGACAAAAGTTTAACTCCTATCTTTTTAAGCATCCTGAGGAAGTGAAAAATAAAATTGAACAGAGAATTTTAATATGTGTGTTGTGGCTTACTTATCACTTGCTTACACTGATGCTAGAGTAACCTTTATATACTTGACTCACATGATTATGGAGG